GGGGGGGGGGGGGGGGGGGGGGGGGGGGGGGGGGGAGGTGAGCGTGGTTAATAATCCTTTCATTTCAATTTGAACTGACGTGATCGTTTCAGGGAAGTATACTAGGGCGCCACGTTGCCGTTGTATTTGCCAAACTCCCTATTGATTTGGGAGAGCGGGGGATATTTATTTAGAGAAACGCTATTCGAGGCCAATGTCTGCGGGATGTTCACAACGTTTTAGCCCGGTGTGTAGTTTTATATATTATATCAATAAACCTAGTTTTTCATATCTTTTGAGGATGGCAAGTTTTTAGGCACATTTAGTTAAGGTAATTACCCATCCAAGTATGACAATAGTTACTTTAATTTCGACCTGCATTAGCAGGCATAACTGGGTGATAAATGACGGTTTGGCAAACTTATGCTTTCTACCCTTTCTTTTTTACCCTTGTAGTATATTGCTTTTTTTAGCGTGGACGTGAGGGAATACTAACATGGATTATTCATTGTTATTAATCCATATAGATATTTCTGGATGTCGAGTATTATGTCAGGACAGAATGAGAAACTTCTTACCAATAATGAACCGAGTTATGCTGGTTGGTGACCGATTCAAATCTAACATTTGCAGCAGAAAACTTAACTTATATTGATAGGTCATGTAGCCGTTTTGTGTCAGGTTTATTTTCTAGGCAGCATGACCCATATGAGGCACGTTTTAGGGGGAGTTTTTCTATTTTTAGACTTTTAGGGTTTAGGATTAGGAATTTAGGGTTTGGATTATGGAAAGGTCAGGATTAGGGTTAGAATTAGAGTAAGGGGTAGGTTTAGGGTTAGGATTAGGGTTAAGTTTAAAACACAAAAGAATACAAAATGACAAAAGTCTAAAAATAATAACTCCCCCTAAAACGTGATATAAGCATGACTTGCCGAAAGACTGGTGGGAGGTGAAGCAAAAAATGATTTTTTTAAATTTGAATCTTCGCTTCGTGCGAAGAAATTGGGCTAGCTGAACACCGCGGTTTTAGGCCATGAAATCTGAAGACGTAACTAAATACTGTCTTTGAAGGTTGTCTTATTTGGTGCTGACGTGTTTACTGCATATTTCTATGTTATGACAATGTTATTTTACAATCCATGTTTCTGCTAAGCTCATCTCGACTGAAAACGGTTATATGACTTATTTGAGAAACATTTATGCTCTCTTTAGTAGCATAAAGCCACATGCACACCAAAATCATTCGCACACTAATTAGAGAGCTTCAGATTTGACTACCGCTACCACCTCTCACTGGTTTAGTAAACATCTGATTGGTTGATCGGATATATCAAACGCATCTGATTGGTTAATCGGATATATCAAACGCATTTGATTGGTTAATGGTCCCTTAATGGTAGCGGTAGTGGACGTCAAATCTGAACTTCGCTATTATTACACATCCGTGGAACACACAGATCTAGATTGCAACTTATTTAACGGATTTTGGTTTTATCGAAAATGGTACTTTAATTTGTTTAAACTATTTTCACCAAATAATTTATATCTAGTATATAGAGCTCACTGGTTTGCTATAGGAAATGACTAGATATATAAGCCGGGATGGATCCAGCCAGATAAGGTGTTGGGGTGGGTGTGTGCTTATCGACCCATGGGCATGGGTCACGGTTCTGGGTGCGACCTTTGACCAAGTTCATAATCATTTGGAGCTACGCACAGTAGTGTTCTGTAGAATGCGCGAAACATTGCCCCTGAAAGGATTCAGGAGCATTTTTGTGGTAATGGTGACAGCATATAGCATTTCCAAAATGAATGAAATCGATATTAAATTGGCACCCCAGGGCTAAGGGGGTGCGCCCCCCCCCTGCACCCACTGTAAATCCATCCCTGCTTATAAAAACTATACTTTTGAACTCGAAAGCCCTGGAATTTTCCATCTCGACATGTACAGAGCTTTGGTAAAATTAACCTAACCTCGAAATTAACTTTATATTTTTGGACAGTTATTCTGATCGGATAGCAATAAGGTTTTTGTCTTCAATATATCGAGGAAAGGAATGAAGTGTTCCAAATCTCCAAAGAATGAAGCGTTCCAGATCTTTTTGAGTTCACTGTTATATTTACAAGATCTGTTTATAATTAGGATAGGATTATTTTTGGATTGGGTAAAGGATAAAAATTAAGAATAGTTTATATATTGCAGTTTTGCTGTCGTTTTCTTCCATTCATAACGCATGTACTCGTTCACATAATTCAGAAGAGGAAAATCGCATTAGAAAGCAGACATGGTACTACAGTGCGGTGTCCCCGGGCATGCGCAAAACAAGTGCACCACAAGCGCGAAAACATATTATTTTTTTAATTAAGCAAAAATTGCAGTGTGAACGTGCGTCTAAAATTCAGTGTCTCCAGAGCCTCCTTGTGCGTCCACCAGACCATAGGAGTCGGGGTCTAGTATTTCGTGATTTCGTTGTCAAGGTAACAGAAACTTTTACAATAATCGAGCGAGAAGTCCGCCATTAATAATACAAGTATGTAGAAAAGAAAAGCGATCAATTTACAACGAATCCTAGTTTAAAATGGCAGAGGTAAGATTATATTTGTTGGTTTATATTCAAATCTTTGTTTCAAATTACGAAATTTGAGGACAGCTTCTGTAGAAAAGTAGAAAACATTATAAAAACCAGTGTCCAAATGTATTTGTGATTTTATGTATCAATTGTATGTTCATGTTTATTGTTTTTATTTGTATTTTTGGATGTTTTATACTATCGTACTCGAATAACGATTGAAACGTTAATTGCGCTATAAAATACTGAATTACAAGGTATCAGACGCATTTTTGGTATGTTAAATTGTAAAGTATTAACCAGTGTTTTTTTTACAAAAGCTATCAAAATGTAGTGTAATGTATCATGGAAATACGTGCATACTTTGTAGTTGTATTGTGATGTTTGTGTCAACTTGTTTTTATAGACAGATTGTGTCGAGTTTCGTTACCCTAGTTCGGTCATTGCAAGTTGTACTACATTTTGCTATTGTAGAACATGGATGATCGCCAGATGGTATGGATGTCACCAAAGTTGAATCACATCCATACACTTATGTTTATGGACATACCTACATATATTTTTCATGTTTCCAATAATTTCCCTAAGTTATAGAAGAATGTAGGCATGTCCATCAACTTTGAGCATTTGGACTGTATAATTAGTTTCAGTGTCATCCATAGTATTTCCTCCATGATAGTGGTACCGGGTGTCTGGATGAAGAGCACATTTTATGTGCCAGGAAGTATTTTCATTGAAATAAAGTAACTGAGTAGCAAACTAATAACTATAACTTATTACTACATTCATTGTTACATGCTAATCAAGATTGTGTACTGTCTCTGACCAGTAGGGATGGAATTGGTAATTCCCTATAGGAATTCCTATAGGAATTGATCAGAATTTGCCATATGAATTGCTATAGGAAGTTTGGATTCAGATTTTCTATCTCACAGGGAATCAGTCTTAATTGGTCGTTCCAGAAAAGATCTACACTCCCCCCACAGAGGAAATTTTTGCTGTCCGGAGGGGGAGGGGAGAAAAAATTGTTTCTGATAATAATAAATGTATTAGGACCTGTTCTTCCACTGATCTCTATTCCCAACTGAAGGGACGAGGCAGTATTAGGACGTCCGAAGGGGTAGGGGGGACTAACTTCCAATTTCCTTTGTTGGGTGGGGGAGGTATGGATGTTCTCTGGAATGACTTAATAGCACTCATCAGGTGGCACTGCATCTCTGAGTTGAGCTGCTTGAACAAGATCAAAAACAATGATCATCTGATAATTTGTTAGAAACTGCCCGAGAAACCTGCCTTTGAAGAAAATGCTTTCGAAGTTTTGGAGCGTGATTTTCAGGAGGTAATACTCTACGATTGTTATTTTGTATTGAATTGTTTGTTTTGTACTAGAGAACAGTGTATAATGGACAATGTCTAACAGATTTCCCTTTGTATTTATGCCACTTAGTAAAGTTAGACTGAGTATATAATTGGGGCATTATTTATAATTAGGTCCTGGGAGAGCTTATGGGAGATAAAAGCTTGGAGAAATTCCGTGTGGAATATGAGAAACTGCATCGAGCTTTGAAGAAATCGCACGAGAGTGAAAAACGACTGATGCAGAAATGTCGAGAGCTAAATGGAGAAATTGTGGCGAATGCAGCCAAGGTTCAAACTGCATTAAAACTTTCACAAGAAGATCAAAATACAATTTCCTCTCTCAAAAAAGTAAGTGCTAACTTCAGACTTCAGTGCATACTATTATTATTGCTTCAACATTTGAGTTAAACACTCTTCAAGTTGTTACCAAGTGTAAAGGAAACTTTAAAAAAAAAAGGAAACTTTTGAAAAATTATGATATTTGTGATGTTACTCTGAGTGAAATTCCACACTGGGCAAGCTTGAAAAAAATGCCCCGCCACAGTGGGAATCGAACCTACGACCTTTGGAATACTAGCGTGGGCTAGTATTCCAAAAGTTATAGGTTCGATTCCCACCGTGGCCGGGCATATTTTTCAAGCTTGCCCGGTGTGGATACACACTCAGAGTAACATCACAAATATCATATTCACCTGAGTACACAACACCAACACAGAAAAAATTTCGAAAAATTGTTTTTGATGGTACGTGTTACAGTACTATACATGAAAACGTAATTTACTTTGATTTAAAAAACAATAGGAAATCGAGAAAGCATGGAAGATGGTTGATGCAGCTCATGACAAGGAGCAGAGAGCAAGAGAAACAATACAGTCGTTAAAATTAGAGATTTCAAACTTGAGCAAACTGGTTGAACAAGGTGCTGGTCTTTCTATGGGACAGGATCACAGGTTTGGAAATCGTGCTTAATCTATGATTACATTTTTTCAGAGGTAGCCAAAAATAATTTGGATACCCCCCAGAAAATCCATCTATGAAAGATAAGGACCATAGCTAGGAAACTCTGGAGCCTAGACCCAGTTTTGTACTCCAGAACAGGCATTGGTGAAATTGAAATCTTGAAATAGGACCTGTATTAAATCTATGTGGAAGAAAATTATGTAAAATTTGACCAGTGTTTATTTACTGAATTTTAAATCTTACTAGCATAAATGAGTTACTCAAAATCAAGGATGATCTCACGAAAGAAAGAGATGAAAAATTACAAGAAATTACCAAGGTAAGAGAAGAAAGATAACGGCTGCTAAATATTTCAAGAAATTAAAATAATCGTAAGGAAAGTGGGGTATATACAAACATGCAGGAAAAGGCGAGTTAGACAAGGGATTGGATTATATAGCTGTCCTATTTGAAACCAACTAACTTGCGTCATTGTATAGTTTCTTCATTTTATTTTATAGCTTCGTGAAGAGCTGTCGTTGTTGTTGGGAAAACAGCAGAAAGCTGAACAAGAGAGGGGAGAAGCAGAAATGAGAATTGCTGAGGTTTGTTCTCATTACGTAAAAATACAAACCTTTTTCCCCAAGTGGGAATTGCAATAAAGCTATATGACAAAAGAAAAGTTAAGGAGATTAAGGTTACAGGACACCCTTTTTGGCGTTTTGCGGAAAATCGCTACTGCGCGCTCAATATCAGTCCGATTTTCATCAAATTTTCACCAAATGTTCGCCAGTGTATGCAAAATATGGTAAAGTTGTAAAATTAACAAACAATAAATAATATAAGAATTATTCAGGAAAATATTAAATCGCGGTACCATTACGCTTTTGAGTTGTGCTTCTGCTGGTTTTAAGTTATATTTATGAAAATATCATTTTTATACAGTAAAATAGTTGTTCTAAAAAATTGTATCCGGAAATTTTTGTTTATTTCGTCATTCCGCTGATATGGCGATTTCTTTGACGACTGCAATATATTTCTGAATTATTTGAGTGAATTGCTTTTTATTATTAAAATATCCAAAACTAAGAAAAAGCCGAACACAATTTTGAAACTGACGTCTTTAGCTATGTCCTGTGAAAATTTGAGAGAAATTCGTTAAAACCCGCAGGAGCACAACTCGTTTGAAAATCTGTAATTACCGTAAACTATTTCGGGAGAAAATTGAATTTGAATATTACATTTTCAATGATTTTCTTAATGCAGTGAAATGTATTTTATTAAATAACTCTGCGAGTTTTCAACATTTTTCGTTCAAACTTTGTCAGATAGTAGAACTAGTCTAATGCTTTCATGGAAACCAATAAAAAAATTTTAGGCAAAATTAACACTCAAAGGTGTTCTGTAACCTTAAGTACTAAAACGATAAGAAGAGAAAAATTTAAACATAATCGTATATAATCAACCCAATCAATTTCATGACAAGGTTTGGTCCTCGTGCATGATTCTATGTTTTTGAAACTTTGTGTGACAGTTGAAGGAAGACATTCAAGTGAAAAACAACGAGGCCCAACGCGAGAGTCGTAAGAAAGAGAAAATGGAACGTGAATTAAAGACGGCGAAAACTGAACTGGAGAGTAAAGGTGGAGAGTTGAAAACGAAACAAAATCAACTCCAGAAAGCTTTGGACGATATCTCAAGATTGGAACAACAACTCAAGGAGCAGAGGGTAAGTGATAATATTAAATTGGCAGTTTATACTAAAAAACTTTTTTTTAACTGAATTGTCTTTCTATCATGGAACAATCTCTCTCCGATCATTCGTAACTAGGACTGTTCGGTATACCGATTTATTGCCGAGCTGTTTTCCAAGACCTGCAAGGATATAGAAATATCGGTACTAAATCAATATCGGTATATCGATACCGGATATTCAACCATACCGATATACCAAAATTCCCGATATACCGGAAATTTTCGGTATACCGTGTTAAATTTACCAACTATATGGCGAACCATAACCTTTATTTTACTACTGAATGGCAATTCAAATAACTTTCTACTGTAATGATTTAGAATTTCCACTTCAGTGTGATTTTTTTTCAGCGTGTCGTTCGAAACATGCTCGAAACAGCTTCGAAATTATCGTTTTCCCTTTTAGAATTATTCAAAATTTCCTTCAAACTTCCATTAAAGAATTTTCCTTTATAATTATCAAAGGAAAACCGGTATACCGATAATAGCGGTATAATTTTTTCGGTATACCGATACCGGAAATTTCTCATACCGAACATTCCTATTTGTAACAGTTCGTCTGTTTCATCCTTTAAGCTCCAGCTTCATATTCACTGTTCTTCTCAATTAGACTCTTCTTTCGATGTTAACAAAATGCGCACTTGGAAAACCTACATGCTGTTCTTTCAAAAATAGTAATATACAATTACTTTATGGTTTCCGTGCATGTTGGGATGGCCTGATCCAAACACGCGGGAATGTTGCGAGAGTTAAGAAAAGCGCGCGAGTGTTCTAGTCCTTGTCTACTTGTTTTGTATTAGGTTGGTCTTCACATGGGACTCGTGTCCTGTTGACCATACCTTCAATCCTTGTTATATTTTCTGTGATTGTAAAGTTAATAAATAAATAGTTATACTTACCGTTCACAAAATGTGATGTACATCCATATTCCTGTATAAAGCACCCTGCTTAAAAACCTCTGGTTAAACTAAAATTAACACTGTTTGGGGTATATTAGTGCCCCTGGTTAAATTTTCTGGGTGGTCTTGCAACATTCCTGGAATAACCAGATTATATTAGGTGGATTAGTAACCAAGAATTCATGCATGCATAATCTGGTTAATTGAACCATATAGCCTGATTGAATTAACCAGATTATAGCCACGATAGTGATCAAATTAACTATGCAGGTCTGTGGTTAAATTAACCAGGATATTTACTCTTGATTTCAATTTGCTTTTCAAAACTGACTTCCAATGTTTACTTGTAAATTCGAAATGTTCGTTGTAAAGTTCCGAAGTTTGTTTCGAAGTTCGTTTCGATGATTTACGATAATCAAGTTTAGTAAGTTGTAATTGGCTAGTTAAGTGAACCAGCCAATCAAATCGCTTGCTATTGAATCATCGTAAATCATTACGTTCTATTTTCAAACAACAGCTGTAAGTTTGCAAATTCCTCAGGGAAAGTATGTCACAAGGTATTAACAAAAAATAACCATGGTTCCATCAAGTTTCCTCTGCTGTCATTTTAGATTCTAAACGAGAAAGCAACAAAAGACAACGACTTATTAAACACTCGACTAACAAAGGTCCAACAAGACTTTGAAAGTCAGCTGTTGAACTGTGATCAGTTGGCGGCTGAGAATGGTCAGAAAATGTTGGAACTTAAAGCGAAGGAAGACGAGATCAATATAATGAAACAAGACTCAGTACGATTAACCAAGATGAGAGAAACTATACAAAGGAAACTGAGAACGACTGAAGATCAGAAAATGGAAGTCGAACAGCAGAAGGAAATCTTAAAAAGTCAAATTAGCGGATTGGAGAAAGGTAACTACTAATGTTCGTTTTTTAGCCACTTTCCACTTTTAGTGCGGTATTAAAATAAAATTTTACTGCTCTTAACCGGAAGTTGCAATTTATGGATGCCCAGAGGAGGGAATAGGAAAAGAGGACGACTCGCATGACTTAAGGTCCAGACACACCGGACGCGATTCGACAACGCGATTTTTTAGTTTTTGCAAGTTAATAAAACAGCCAATGAGAGAAAATTTTGAAAGATATGTAGACCAAATAACTCAAAATGTTATAGCGCTTCTAAATATTTGGAAAATTTAAACTAGGATCAAAGTTATCGGTCAGTGAAAATTGAAAAATTGCGTCGCGTTGTCGAATCGCGTCCGGTGTGTCTGGACCTTAAAGCCCGTTTTCCACTCACGTATTTCGCCGCCGCTGGCGAAAAATCACCACCGAAAAAGTTCATTTGTTGTTCTTTCGCGCCGTCAACGAAAGGTCAAACAGAAGTTGAAAATTTTAAGCAACTGTAGCAGGAGAACAAATTTCTTCAGCGGCGAATGAATGTAAAAAAATGATTTCTTTGTCAAATTTTTTCGCCAGCGGTGGCGAAATACGTGAGTGGAAAACGGGCTTTAGGAGCAGGAATTAAGACTAGACAATCCGTCAGAGTCGCGAAATTGTTGCACTTGTATTATTTATCATGCAGTATTATTGAAATTACATAATTTGCAATTTCTTAACTCTTTATCTTGATAGAGCTGGAAGCAAGTAAGAAACAAACTGAAGCTGATAAAAAAGTCATTGATGATCTCGTACGAGAGCGTGACATTCTAAATAAGGTAAATGAGAATTCTAATTATAATTTGATACTTTCATTACACGGCTTTTCTAGTACCAAAAGTGGCGGTTGAATTTTGTGTTATAATTCTGTTTTAGAATCTACTTAAAGCAGCCAGTGCAACTCAGAAACAACTTGGTCTGGTCCGTTTGAATGAACAGACGAGAAAAAACCTTGAACAGGAAATTCAAGTGAGTAATAAGAAATGTCATGACTGTAGTTATACCTGCAACTGCTTTGCCCACCGCCCTTCCTTGAGGACGATTTTTCTCTTTTACACACGTATCTATATACAATCGTAGACATCCTACATCTCATAACATCCTTCGATACAATTTCTTGCTGTAATAATTTAATAAAACTGTTCTGAATTTAGAACTATAAAGATGAAGCTCAGAAGCAAAGAAAGATTATTTTCCAACTGGAAAAAGAACGAGACAGGTACATCAACGAGGCGGGAGAACTTACTCAGAAAGTCTTGCAACATATGGAAGATGTTAAAGTGCGAGAAATGCAGATCTTTGATTATAAGAAGAAAATAGCGGAGGCTGAAACCAAGTTAAAACAACAACAGGTGAGAAGCAATGCTTAATTATATTCTTTGTTCTTCACTTGAAGTGATGGAAGCCCTGTTCATTCACAAGAGAACAGATACCTACTGTAGCTAGGTTTCCAGTCAAGGGAGATAAAAGGGGAGGGAGCTCTATTACTTTGCATTAGTTTCACCATAGTTAGTTCCTCATTGAAACGTAATATAAGATTATTGCAACGAATATGTAACCACGCATTATACAGCATATCGTTAAATAGTTTTAATATGCACGGGTGGGGTCGGGAAAATGCCCCTGGAAATCAAGAGTCTTTAAACAGTATTTTTATACATGTTTTGATGATAACTTGACATCAAAATCATTTAACACATTACTGCACTTTTAATTACAAACTAACCTTAACACCGGACTCAATGCTTCGACGCTTCAAACAAAGATCCCGTTGTAGGGAAATTATGTGTTTTCTTCTATTTGATGTATACCTATAGGGTGCTTTCCATTAATCCGGTCAGAACGGTCAAATTGTTGAATGAAACTTAAAACGTTTGGGCTTCGGACCTATCTGACCAGAAAATTTAGATAAAATTAGAATGAGGTCCATTTTCGCTAGATATTTGAGAAACATAGACCAAATCTTTCCATTGATACAGAGACAAAAATTCGGGTCTGACCGGCCGGCTATTAAATGGAAAGCGTTCGTATACTCTCGTTTCGTAGATGGAAATTTTGAGTGTACGGTAGATCTCCAAATTTCTTATATTACTCCTACTCTCGTATCCATAATGATCCATGTAACATGATCTAAAAGTAATTTTTCATTTGCAGAATTTATACGAAGCCGTACGCAGTGACAGAAACCTGTACAGCAAGAACTTGATAGAATCTCAAGATGAGATCACTGAGATGAAACGAAAGTTGAAGATTATGAATCATCAGATAGATCAGCTCAAAGAAGAAATCACCGCGAAGGAATCCGCTCTTGTGAAAGAACATTTGGAACACCAGCGAGTGGAGAAGGAAAAAGATGCTTTGAAGGCTGAGCTCCAGAGAATGAAACAAGAAGCCGCCGAGTCGAAGGCTTACATTGAACAACAGGAGTCCGAAGAAAGGAAATTGTTGAAGATTATCTCTGAAGCGGATCAAGAACGAATGAGACAGAAGAAGGAACTCGACCAGGTGGGTTCTGTTACCGGTTGTTACCTTGATAAAAAAAAAGTAGGGGTCCAGCAGGGGTGCACCCTGTGTGGAGTAGGCAAAGTTTTGCTTGGTTGGGAAATACCATCTTGGTGTAATATTCCTGGTATATATATATATATATATATATATATATATATATATATATATATATATATATATATATATATATATATATATATATATATATATATATATATATATATATATATATATATATATATATATATATATATTAAATACTTTGAGGGTGCAATCTCCTAGTGTTAAACTGGCTGAAACCTTGACTTACCATGATGGTTTTTTACTCTCGTTCAAACAGGTGATAAGTGAAAGAGATATACTAGGTACTCAGCTGGTGCGACGCAACGATGAACTGGCACTTCTGTATGAGAAAATCAAAATTCAACAATCCACACTAAACAAAGGTATGTCACTGTAGATAGCACTCTTGCTTGAGTTTTATCCAGGATTGTGATGAGCTGCTCTATGTGCAGGATTAATGTGCCTTTCCCATAGAGTCCATAGCATCGTACTTACGGCAATTATAATATGTAGGTGAGATCCAGTACAGACAACGTTTAGAGGACATCAGATTACTGAAGTTAGAGATCAAGAAATTACGACGTGAGAAAGGAATACTGACTAAGAATGTTGCCAACATTGAAGATCTCAGGTACACACCACAGCTAGACAGCTCCGAGTCCTCGTGGATTCACGAGACAACCCTGGTCCTTCGTAAAAATCCTAAAACGTGCATGATTTTGTTTCAGACGTGAGGTGTATCACACTCAACGTGAACTACTACGTGAGAGAACACGTTGCAAAGCTTTGGAGGAAGAATTGGAGAATCCCATGAATATCCATCGATGGAGAAAGCTTGAGGTACTAACATCTCTATATATATAAAATAAAAAAATTGTATAAGAAAATGGGTAAATATCAAGATTTTCTTTAATTTCCATCTACAAAATCCATCAACTATTTTCTCAATCGAGTGAGATGCCAACAAAATCTTGATTCCTGAATTGAAATCTTGATATTACTAAATTTTCATTAATTTTGATCTAGGCAAGAAGAACAAAAGTCTATAGTTTAGTCATAATTAGTTTATAAATTTAGTCTATGAATTTTGTCATCCATTCAATATTAAAAAAGTTTTAAATTACAAACATTCAGGGCAGTGATCCAAGTACATATGAAATGATTCAGAAGATACAAACTTTACAGAGAAGACTTATTCAGAAAACAGAAGAGGTAAACATTTTCTTTGTAGTTGCATCGAAACTGGGTCAGCACTCCACATTGCATCATTGCGTCAGCCATTCAACCTACATGTATATGAACAAACAACTGAGTATACTCACCTAAATTCCCACCGCTTTTACTATCAAAGTATCCCACTGTTTATGCTCGCATCACCTTAATATAATATAAAAATAATTACCTGTAACTCACTCGTTTTGATAGGTTGTTGAAAAAGAACTCCTTATTCAAGAAAAAGAGAAGTTGTATATGGAACTAAAACAAATCTTAGCGCGCCAACCAGGACCTGAGGTGGCTGAGCAAGTACAATTATACCAACAAACATTGAAAGATAAAACTAAGCAGTTGAAGAGCATGGCCTCAGAACTCAACATGTACGAGGCACAGGTAAAGGAATACCAATATGAACTTGAAAGATTGTCGAAAGAACTGCAAGAAGCGAAGAAGAAATATTATATGCAGAAACGAAAGGAACAACAAGCACGGTACGTGTATATTTAACTATGTAGTATCTCAAATATGGATTGCTTACTGCATTGATCGGAAGTCGGAATTACGGAGGATCGAAACTCCATTCAGTCTAATCATAACATGAAGTCTCAGGACTTGGTAAAAACTTCATTGAATAAATAAGTTTTAGGTCTTAGAAATTGAACAAACTGAGCCCCAGTGAGCTGGAACTGACGTCCAATAGCTCCTTTAATTTCCGCAATCTTGGCAAGGAGTGTCGAAATTTCGTATTTTGACTTCGCCTTCAAGACTAGTATTATGATTTTATGAACTGAAAATTTGGATGTGGCTGGGGAAAATGGTATAAAAACTGTTTACGACCTTCAGAGCTATTGGACGTCAATGGCCGCCATCTTGGCTTCACTTTTCTTATAGTCCGAATGACTGAAGTTCTTACTCCAGATATATATAGAGATCACTGGTGAACCCTAGGACCTGACCACAAATTTACTCAATGCTACGAGATGTTCAAAACCTTATATGAAGATCTGCGGGCGATTTTATTGCATGCCATTTGCAGGAATGCAAATAGTTCAATGAGTGACTGGATGGCATCGCGAACTGTGAATTTCCAAAGTAACGGAATCTGTGACTGCTATTGCTATATTGTTTTATTCTAGTTCCTACAAAACGCCTATTTTACTTTTTAGGCGGAAAGAAAAAATACAATAATTCTCATCCTTTTCAAACAATCTAAAATATCTGGGAGGTTCCAAAACAGCTTCCCTTAATAGGGGTTCGATTGCATTTTAATTTTATATGTATTTTATTCCAGTGAGCGAGAGAGAACAATGCAACAGGCAAACTTGCCACCATTTGCACCTCAAAGAACTGATGGTCCAAGATTCACAGGTGGAGGATTCAATCTTCAACAACCACCGAAAGCCGTCGCATAATGTTCTTGGTCGTATGTAACTATGAATATTTAATGTTGTCTGTATAGTTGTATATAACTGGCTATTTTATTGTCTTGAATATAACCTAATTTCGTAACCGTTATCGTGTTGGTTCCATCAAAGAGCAACAAATACTGCGTATAAATATACATGGTGTTTCAACAAAACAAAACCAAACCTAACGAAATAAAATACCCTTTGGAAAGTACAATACGTCACTCTGGTTATAGAGCCTTCGTTTCGTATATTTGATATTGGGTATCGCCCAACGTCTCAATAAGGAAAACGAGGCTCTATAGCCAAGATGACGTACTTTCCGAAAGCGTGTATTATGCTGTACTTGTATGGCGAAATATATACTGTAACAATCCCGTACCTAGAGTATGCCCTTTGTACAGTAGGTAAGGAGCACCTAACCTGCGAACGAGCATGCTCTGGGTTACGAGATTGATAACGAAATACGAAATTGATTAGCCTCCTCCGCTGGCAACTCTTGTGGCATCCCAAATGGCAAACTTTTGAAAAATCCCCATAAAAAAAGAGCAATACTGTCGCGAACGGCGAATTAATGTTGTTTTGGCCGAGTAGTAATAAAATTAAGGGGATTGGGTCGGGGGATAGGCGGATAAAGGGGGATCTTGGGGGATAAAATACGAGGAGAGGAGAAAAACGAGGGGAGGGAGAGTTTCTTAATTTTAAAACGAGGGGAGGAAGAGTCCCCTTCCTTTCTCTTCCCGCCCCGCCCCCTTCCCACCTTTCCCTTCCGCCTTTCCCCCGACCCAATCCCCTTAATTTTATTACTACTCGGCCAAAACAACATTAATTCGCCGTTCGCGACAGTATTGCTCTTTTTTTATGGGGATTTTTCAAAAGTTTGCCATTTGGGATGCCACAAGAGTTGCCTGCGGAGGAGGCTAGATTGATAAATCTCACAGCTTGTCAACAAGATGTGTTCGCACTGCTTGTTCCCAGTTGTGAACAAGTCTGAAACAAATTGTTATATAATCTTATAACATGGTTGATGAACCATATCGTCAAAATAGTTGATAAACTTGATTACTGCATGGGATGCATTTATATTTTAGGTATAATAACTTGTATCCAATATGTATGTATCTGATTTACCACGGCTCGTCTTGTAAATCAGTTACAGACTGGCTGCTCTTGCATGTTTTATATGTTACATTGTTACTTGAACTTATATTTTTTAATTCTCGAATTTCTTCAATTAACTGTGATATCTATTTAACAATTAGTCGCCGAAGGCGAGGTTTCGGCGAGGTGATTACAAGCCTATATTCACTGAGCTGAAGGCGAAGTGAATATAGGCTTGTAATCACCGAGCCTGAGGCGACTAATTGTTTTAGTATAAATTTCCAGGTGTTTACAAACAATAATCCACACAACTTTATAAAAATTCACTTCAAATAAATTTATTTTCGCTATAAATAGTTTGTTTACAAAATTTAAATCTCAGACACGGCTCTGTGTCGCGTTGCAACTAAGCCAGTTTTTTTCCAAATAAAAGCACGTAAAGTTTAATATTTTACCTTGAAATATTTTTAAACCATATTTTGTAGCTTGTTTGGGTTTTTTCGGAATGCTATCTTCTTTAATTTTGGCAATTTCCTCTTCTGTTACTACGGCGAAACGAGCAGCCATTTTGAAAAAAAGCTATAGTCACTGACCAGTGACTATCACTTCAGAGACAGTGAATCTTGACCAATCAAAATGTAGAAAAATCAATAGCCACCTGGAAATTTATACTAAATATATATATATATACATCGACACGTAAATGAAGTCATTCATTCAAATCGTTTAGCAGACAAAGTACGAAAAAGAAGTTTTTGGTTTGTGATACAAATATGTGGTTAAATTTTTACAACATTTTCTTTCATAAAGTTTAAACTAATCTATTTTTAAATTCATACCATGCCTGAAGATTTGGTCGCGATATGTTCTAGAGCACTCGATACTATAAAAGATGGAGCAGATAGTATAATTTTGAAATTTTCTCGGATTCTTTTGTTCTTTGATAATTGTATACCTGCATCATGAAAAGGAGCAACTTTCCTTTGCCCATGTGTAAAATTATGTGCAACTAAATTGGGAACGAAAGATTTGTTTTCTAATATTTCAATGCAGTATTTACATGAGTATATTGCTGCGTAATCATCACCGTTCCAGGTAAAGTATCTTGACTGCAAGGAGTGCAGTTATGATCGCTCAGATTAAATGATCATAATTCATTCCATAGTTCATGTCTTTTGGTTTCCAGTTTTCCAGAATCATTGGCGCATCAGGTATTTTCCCGTTTATGTGGCGTGTTTCTGCCTTATTCATATTTTTACACTTACTATACTCTCCCATAATGAATAATCCGCTGGTATTTTCACCATTCTGATGACGAGCTTTGTGAAGCAACAATCGAAGATCCACCAACTGTAGTGGTCGTAAGGCAGTCGGATTATAATTCACCATTGGGCACATAACATCGCTCGCGAACTTCATTTTCATACAATGTGATGACTGTTGGCTTCCCGTCCATCTTTCTTGGATGCCATTCGCTGCTCTCCCGACATATACTTGTGTTCGGAAGGGAAGATTATTGCCGTCTTCTGCATGGTCGTCTTCCTCAACAACTGCCCAGTAAAGTTGTTTGTCCCCAGTCGGCAAGTTGTTAAAATTCTTTTTTTTTGAATTGCCATGTATATATTTTCTCAAAACTTCATTGGTTATCCAATTTATATTAATATTCGGCCCATTTCTTCTTCTCCACCCATTGTGCCCGTCGAATGTCCATTGCGCCCAGCTGTTGCCGCGCATTGAGCGGGCATAAATAGGGGGGCAAAGTTCTTGATAAGTCAGATTACGGATTTTTTGTAACTCTTTTTGTGCACGCCAAAGCCTTGTAATCACGTGTGCTTTTCTGATATTGTACGTCCGATACGTGTCGCGTAATTTACAAAATCGGTAGAAATGGAAGGCAGCAGGAGCAGCAGCAATAGGAGCAACAACGGCAGGAGCAGCAGCAGCGGCGGGAGCAACAGCGGCAGGAGCAACAGCAACAGCAGCAGCGGCAGGAGCAGGAGCAACTTCATTTGGAATTGGTATCCATCTATATTTGTACTGGTTTTCGAAAAGCTCTTGCACCTTCTGACGACTATACTCCGTCACGTCCATACCCAATGGGGATGCGAAATGCTTGATTTCCAAAAGTGGGCATTCAATATTTTTCACCGCTTTCTTTTTCAGTTTATGGCACAGAATTTTTACCTTTTCATCTTGATTGTTTGGTAATCCTTCATGAACACCTAATTCATTTGCCAAGGCATTGTGAAATTCAGCATCTTGTTCGTGAAATGCAATATTTAGGGTCTGTAAGGCGTTTTGTAGGTCGTTTATATTCACAGTCTCTGGCCCTTGAACATGCGCAGTCTCCGCCGCCATAATTTTATTATTTTAAATGTTCAGGTCGTGAGTTTGTTCCAGGATGATTATACTACTATAACGCTAACATTCAAAGAGCGCACAAAACATTGAAAACAATACACATATAAGCATCTAAAACCTTACACCTGCTGCATGCGTGGCCAATCACAGCTATTTTGGCCTTGCTTTTTTGAAATTCGTCCAATAAGCAGTCAAAGTTAGAGCGTTGTTTATGGAATAGAACATGAATAGCTGACTGCCGTAAACTTAAAGAAGCCATGGTGACGAAAACAGTTGGTTTACCCAAACTTTCAAAAACAAGATATGGAAACTTCTATTATATTGAAATTTTAATTGTAATTTCAAATATTTCTAATCCCATCGATGTGGAATATGGACCATTTTTAAATGGTTCCTGAATCCCATGCATAAGCTGACTAATTTATTGCCATGACATTCATCATGGCGTTACAACAATTTTATTTCAAACGTCCAATAAACGTCGCCGCGTTAGAGCGTTGTTTATAGTAGACATGCAGCTATTATCGTATTAACAATGGCAAAAACTACGAACTATCCACGAAGAATAAAAACAAATTGAAATTTGGAGACAATAACAAATTTTATTTGTGGTGTCCTTTGTCAGTTCCAAAGACCGACTGCACGCAAATTAGATCCCATGTATTAAATATTCGACAGCTAACTTAAAAATTAGCAGCTTAACTGTTAGAATTTAAGTAAAATAGTTTGGATTAATATTTAAAAGTTCTGAAAGATTTGATAGCTTTCAAATCTGAAATAAGGCTATAACCACTGCTAAGTGCATGGGCCTATACAGGGTTCGTAGCGGTCTTTGAAATCCTTGAAAGTCTTTAAATTTGAATGCAGGACTTTAATTATAAGGTCTTTGGAAAGTCTTTGAATTGTGTAAAAAAGATTATGAAAAAGCGAAGAAACATATATACCGTTATCGCAAGGTTCGTAGTCTCTCCAAGACCAAAAAAATCAAAGACTTGTTGTCTATTTTCAAAGATTTTTCAAAGACCTTTGAGAGCAATCCGCTGTCGAAATATTGGAAGTGTAAGCACCATTTTTACCCAATAATTAGTCCCGTCAAATCACATCCTAAAATGCGCCTTTTCGTCGATATTTGCGAAAATCTTGCTTCAATCAATCTATTTTAGTAGCTATAGGAAATCGTATTTGATTACACGATTTCCTAGCTTATATAGGTTAATTGATTGAAGCAAATCTTTGATGAATTTTTTTGGTCTTGAAGACTACGAACCTGCATGCTATATAGTAAAATTATTTGTGTAGTTGTTTTGAATTTCTTGTGTTATGCTGATGGATGTATTTTGTCATTCGTTAGAAATACACGTATAATTATCAAATGTCGTTGGTAAACCTCCTATATACTATAGGCTATACTGCAGTTAAATCGAAACATGAATAAACTAGTTAGATAACTGTTTATTTGAAACACATTTAATATAATTCTCAAATTGCAAATGATAATATTGTCATAAACTAATTTAAGTAATTTATTTTCAATTCGTATTTTGTGTTGATGAAGGATGATGTTTTTTGTTTGGTGGTATGCATGTGTGCATGCGCCCTGTTAAATATCTCTGCTATCATCCAAGATGATAATTTCGAACTTCACTCACTGGTAACTGTGATGAAATACAGGACAAAAACGTAAACTGATATCTACAGTTCAGTAGAGTTAATAGATTTATAACCAGTGTAAGTTGAGCTTGCAACCAACGTGACGTCATAAATTAGCGGACATCATTCACACTCATTTACATATCAAACAAATTGAAATATCTCTGGAACAAACCATAAAAACAAGAAACTGAAAAATAAGTTACACCACAGCTTAAAGAGTTCTTTCATTCAAGAAAATAAAAAATTTCACGTCATATGCACTTTAAGTCAAAGCAATTAGAGCTGTCACTGAAATGACTACAATACGTTATAGCTAATTTGAATTTGAAAGGTTCACTTTTTTTTAGACACATAGCTGTATTGTTTATAAGTACTTTTACTTCACCAAATCACTTCTTCACTTGTCATTAGGAGTTTATGAATGAAAGACGACGACGTCAGGACGACGACTAAACAGACTGTTTGAAATAAATGATTGTATGGAAATCTTGACTTGTATTTACTTTCTTATGAATTTAAAATAGTTTCGAACGAGTAAAACAGAGCTTTAACCCCCAGAGTAATGTTGATCAACTCTGCTAGAAAAACTACCTGTTATGGCTTGAAAAGCTAGCGTATGCTATACGAGACGTGAAAATATGCATTTTGCCGTTGTCGACAGAGCTTGGACGACGTCTAAAAACTCTGCTATAGCTTTTAATTATTCATTTCTTTTGTACTATAGGATTAATGTCATTGTATTGATAGCCGTCGTCCTGACGTCGCCGCCTTACATTCGTAAACTCCCTAATCTTTGTTGCTACGCATAATTATAGTCTGCAATCTGGTTGGTCAGCAATCATTTGCAAGTTATCAAATAGATATGTCATTTATACAGGGTGTATATTGAATGCCTTTTCAATTGCACATATGCTCAACCGTGGTGCATGAAATATTAGAAAAAGGAGACCTTTAGAAATCAACCATTGTTATAATTTGAATCCTGGAGCACTTTGCAAAGCCAACGAGTGCGTAACATGCGATCTACGTACAGTATGCATGGCAGATTGTTCCCATGCAGGAGCAGACAATCTTTTGTTTAAACGTTATTTCAATTTCTAAAGGTCTCCTTTTTCTAGTATATGTATGTACCCCATCTATTTCACGGACGGCTACGGTTCAGCATATTGCAATTGAAAAGGCATTCAAATTTTAACAATATGGTTGATTTTTAAAGGTCTCCTTTTTTGATACACTACAGTCCTGTAGAAACTAGATCATATATTCTTTTGAAGACTTGGTACTGAATAACTGAAAGATTGTGTGAAAAGGACATGATTATGCAGAATATAAATTCTTCTTTTCTGTATATTTATGCTTTCCATGCTCAAGAAAGTTGACTCAGTTGTCATGCATGCAGTACAACAGCAATTCACGATGTTTGGCTCGACAAAGGTAAAAGTAACCGAATCAAAAGAACTCCTAGAAGCCAGTGATGGCGTCAGAACAACTGCCTTTCACCTCTGTGGCTTCGATTCTCGCTAATGGACACGTGAAAAGAGCTCTATATAACTAGTTAGTCGTTGTTTTTCTCCGGGTACTCTGGTCTCCTCCCAGTTGAATTTTCAAAATGTTGAAACGACAGTGCAAATATTCCGCCATTGAATCTGAAACTGCGTCCTGCTTTTGTTATCTTTCCCGGTTTTATAATATATACTTACCTTGTCATACGCCAGATGATTTCTCGACAAAGGAAACTAGTCTTAATTTGATAATAAGAGCGGAGAGTATTCTTAATTCTCCTATTAATACACAGATTCAGGGGCTATTTACGTGATCCCGCTTTGCCGGGGCGGGTTAATGTGATGTGAGTATAGGTAACGTACTTACTTTTCACACTCCGAGGTCGCATTAATGAGTAAGAATAGAAATAATTCTTAATGTCATATTGCCTTCGTTATGTTGTTTTTTTCTCATTTTTTTGTGGTGCAAAGACATTGCAGGTGAATATTAGAGGGGATTATTAATTGCAGGTGAATATTAGAGGGGATTATTAAACGGAAATTGATTAGAGGGGAATATTGAATATATTCCCCGATAAGAACAAAGGAAACCGAGCAGGGTGAAAAATAAGGCGGGTTAATTTTGATGTATTGAAATAAGTCGCGGTTCATGATGTTGCACAATTCCCTGCATGAGCATGCATGTTGTGAAGCATTTAACGTTTGCGGAATTCTCGGTCTGTGGGAAAAGTATTCACCGAGTTAATTTTTATCTACTACAGTATATTGCTGTTTATTATATGTGGTAGAGAGTGAGATACTGGAAAATACACAGTGAGATATTTTCCATATCTTCACTAGTGAAGATATCGATCACGTGACTTTTTCCAACTAGCTTTTGAATGTGAAATTTCACAAATTTTTGCTTGGGACTATATAATAAACAGAACATTACACGGATTACACGGTAGCTTGAAGATATGACTTTTATCTTCTCGTGTTAAAAACAATATTTTACTCGCTGCGCTCGTTCATAAAATATTGTTTTCACCAGTCGAAGATAAAAGTCATCTTCGCGCCGCTGTGTAATATCCTCTATATATTTTCACTTATAATTAATTTCTGAATTCCAGAACAACTAAAAGCGTCAGAGAATATACGCAAAAGATTTACGTTCTTGGCGTGAACTTTTTACAACATTGCCTTTCATTAAGTTTTAACTATAATGTATTTTTAACTCCGTAAACCATACATATATTAACATAATTAAACGTGCAATATATGGCCGCCTCGGATTCTTTTGTTCTTCAATGAATATAAACGTTGCATTTATTTCAGTGGTTTTGCGCAACGAAAATATACCCCATGAAGATAAAATAGTCTCTCGAGGCTAGTTTTGTTATCTTACTGTAGCTCATTTTCCATTCATTCCATACCTCATGTCTTTTGGATTCCAGTTTTCAGTCAAAATGAATTCGTTCGAAGTAGAAGCTTTCTTACCATCTATGTTGTCTTTTTCTGCCTGGCCCAGCTTGCTTGCGTCTCCTGTGATTTTTTTCTGCTTACCGGTACCTTCTTTTGTGAACTTGTCCATAATGAACAACCCGCTATTTTCGCCATCCTGATTCCAAGCTTTGTGAAGCAACAATCTTAGATCCACCAACTGTTCTGATTGTAAGGGAGTCGGATCGTAACTGAGCATATTGCACATAACATCCCGCGCGACCCCCATTCTCTTACAATGAGACTTCCCCCCACCCATCCATCGTTCTTTGATACCATTAACTGCCTGGCCGACATACACTTGTGTTCTGCCGAAGTCCTGTACTTGGTTATCAAAATCGTCTTCTTCAAGTACTGCCCAGTAAAGTTGCCCTTTCCCGGAAGGAAAATTTTCATATTCTTTTACTGAATTGCTTTGTATGTAGACTCTCAAATCTTCGTTTGATATCCATCCTATATTGGCCGGTTCCTGCCGGCTGAACCTTATTGCTTTGCTGGCATTCTTTTCCTCAAATGTAAATGTTACCCAAGTTCCGTCGTCTTTGCGGGCATAAACAGGAGGGCAAAGTTTTTGGTACGTTAGATCACGAATTTTATGCAGTTCGTCCTGTGCATGATACAGTTTTGAAAGCACATGCGCTCTTCTTGTTTTATATGTCATAACCTCATTAATGGGATCTCTGCCAGGACGTCTGCCACGACCTCTGCCACGACCACGACCTGTGCTAGTGCGATTCACAACGTCCTTACAAAATCCGTAGAAACTGAACAGATCAGGATCTCCACTTTCGGTTTGCCATTTTATTTCAAACTGGGTTTCAAAAAGCTTTCGTACTGTTTTATGATTGGCGTCGTTATAGGCTGCGAGGTATTTGACGAGATTTCGGGGAGATCTGTGCGGCACTGCAGAATCTAGAAAAAAAAGGATTATTGTACGTGTCACATTATCCTCTATTCCTATTTTTTTTCTCAAGGCGTTGTAGAACTGTACAGTTAATTTATTGCCTGGAATTTCCAATAGATATGGACGGTCAGTCATGGACGGTCAATTATTACAAAGTATGAAGCGCTGTTCGCTATCTATATTTTCCAAATTGAGTGTTAGATTCTGAATTGCGGTATTAATCTGCTCAACTCCGTCGTTTATGTTTTTTTTTTAGCCATTTTGCAGTTTAGTTTCTGTGTTTCCATGCAGTCTTAACTTTCTTGCACTTCACTCGAACACCTCGCTATCTACTCAAAATCTGCAGATATAGTTCTTCTTAAAGAGAGTATAACATTGATTGAACGCATAAAGCTTTGAAAACGATAAACATATAAACATCTAAAACCTATACGTACCTGCTGCATGTGTAGTCAATCGCAGCTATTCTCGTCTTGTTTTCTTCCAACCGTCCAATAAGCAGTCAAAGTTAGAGCGTTGTTTATGGAATAGAATATGAAGCTAACATCGACCTGTCAACTAACATAAATAAGCCATGGCAACGAAAACGGTCGGTGAATATCATAAGTATTTCAATGCAAGTTGCTAAACATGCAATAAGATATATGGCTGTCGTGGCACTCGTATATAGAAAATTTTAAAATGAAGGATTATATATTGATTCCCACTACTTAAATAATGAAATTTATATACTGGACATTCATGGGGTTGCAAACAAATTTCTAACTGAAATACATTCCCAGATATTCATCTTCCCAGATATTCTAATATACGGGGACGTGGCTAGAAACAGCCTTAAATTTTACGCTTCTAGTAACAACGGCTGTAACTAGGAACTATCGTTATAAACAAAGACGGAGAAGGAGAATAAAAACAAAATTGAATTTTGGAGACAATAACAATTAAATGTTATTTAATTGTATAGCGTTCCCTGTCTGTTTCAGAGCGGAGCGCGCAGATTAGATCCCATGGATTGAATATATATAGGACATCTATAACTTAAGAATTAACACTAACAGCTTAACTGTTAGAATTTAAGTAAAATAGTTTGGATGTACTATTAAAAAATTCTGAAACGGACTTGATAATTTTCAAATCTGGAATAAGGCTATTCCAAATATCAATCACTGCTAAGTGTATATGCATGCCTATACTATATAACTATTTGTTCAAAAAATAATTTGTGTAGTTTTGAATTTATTGTAGCTGATGTATTTTATGTACTATTTAAAAAACGAGCAGGAGTGTCTTATTAGGAGTGCGCAGCGCGAGTGGCTTTAGACCTAATAAAACACGACCTGCGAGTTTTTTAAATGGCTTCAAAAACGTATGCATAATATGTCAAATCTTTATATAAAAATCTTTATATAAAAATCTTTATATAAAAATCTTTATATAAAAATCTTTATATAGTTTGCATAACAATGGTATTTTGTTAAAGTGTTCTTTAGCTGGTATAAAGACGTATGCACGTGACTAATTTCTTACTCAAGATTGGATAATTGCTTCATGAATTATTAATGAGTTTTTGAATATTAGTTAGAAAGTAATTTTACTTCACCAAATCACTCGTTCACTTGTCATTCTCTGTTGCTGCGCGGTTTGCCAGGCTAATTATCAACTCGTGCGGTTCATATCATATACTGTGTTTAACACAATTAGGCTATAAATATAGTCAGCTACAGTCTGCAATCTGGTTGATCAGCAATTATTTGCAGGTTATTAAATATAGATATGTCATTTACAAACTAGATCATATATATTCTTTTGAAGACTTGGTTTTGAAAGATTGAGTGAAAAAGACATGATCAGAATATAAATTCTTCGGTTCTATAGTCGGGCCCATCTCTGCTATATAGGTAAAAGTTTAATACAATGCATAGAGTTACAAACAAGTTTTAGGCTTAGACACAAGAATTAGAGCGCCTCTATCACTCCTTGTATACGTTTTTTGTAGGTTTGACTGGCTGTCAATGTAATCAATTTGTGTGTTTGGAAAACACTGGGGCAAAGCATTCGATCAGTTACTAGGCTTATCATTATCGTTCGACGCTAAAAGAGATTTCATTTAAGTCCATTTTCCACTATAGGCGGATTTGTTCGCGCAAACAGTAAAAAAGTAGGAACTGTCCTACTATTTCGCGGCGAATTTTTTTGCTGACCAATCGCGTTGCCAATATTTGTTTTGCGCTTCGCTTCGCGCGAACAAATTCGCCTAGTGGAAAATGCGCTTATTAACCGCAAATCATGATCACGAAAGATGAGATGACGTAGGTAAGAAAAACAATTTAATAAATCCTTCCGGAAAGTACTTAGATTTGGTGACAGAGCCTCGTTTTCATAATTGAGGTACCGGCTAGTAGAGTCCTTATTACTGATGACTTAATCATATAAAGGTCTTTTATAATATTATCCAATATAACCGCTGTGTTTCGTAAATGTGTCTACCTGTAACAAGACCCAATAGCTCAATCACAAAAACGACGGAGGCTCCGTGGCCAAGGCTGAGTTCTTTTTGGAAGGATGAGCGGCCGTGTTGTATCGAGAATTATACGGACGTGAATGTTGTAAATGGCTTGTGGAACGACGTGATGAGAACATTCATATTCTTCAACAATTTAAAATAAATGAATGATATTTGGTGAGAAAATTGAACTTAAAGTTCATCGGTAAATCAGCATGATTCTGTCATTCTGTATCAGATATACAAACTCCTTCACGCTCATGATTTTTTTTCTGTTTTCTTCATGAATTATTAATGATTTTACAAATTAGATACACGCCACCTTTGCAAACGCCGGGTTCAGTAGGTGGTGTTCAAAACTTTGACTGAGTTTGATATAATACGAGGTGCATGGACTAAGGTTACAAGAATCGTTTCTCCGATTTCACTCTGCTCTGTGTCCTCGAATATGGCAGTCGCCACAAATGCTGCGCTTCGATAAGTACGGCAGCAGGCGGCTCAGGCACATCGAGCTCAAGTTCACGAATGTGAGTTTCAATTGCCATTTTCTTATATTACCATGTAACAACTGAAGCTTTTTCGAAAGTTCTCCTTTTTTATTCTCTTTCCAGTCGGTTTTTATTCTCTTTCCAGTAAAATATTGCATTTAGCCTATAAGCCCAGTGGTTTCATGAGGTCTCCTCGCCATCTATTATTTTTGTTTGTATTTTATTGTAATTGTATTTTTGTATGGTGAAATTAATAAAGTTTCAAGTTACTTGATGCAGGTCATTATACTTGAGGCTGGTGCGAAGTTAAGAGTTCTTAATGAGGTCCCAATTTTGTTTGGCAAAGAGTCGCACATGGCTACATCTGCAAGGTCGTTGTTAGCTTCCAGGTTAGCTTCGTTGGTATCATTTCGCTGAAAATTGGATCTTTTTCTCAAAAGAATGGAGAGTCTTTTTCCCATACCTTTAGCCGCGTACCCTCAATGGATATCCAGAACGAATTAACGGTTCATTCCAAATTTCATATTTGTTGGAGTCAAGTGCCACACATTTCTTCTCAGTTGCAATCGAATGCCCTTTATGTTGCATCTCTCTACATTTTCTTCGTCATCATAACCTTGCCGACCCATTATAAATAACCCGCAACGGTCTCTTTCTTGCCTTTCTTGATGATGTGTGTCGGCTTTGTGAAGCAAGAATCTTAAGTCTACCAACTGTTGTCTCTCTAAGGTATTCTGATCATAATTCATCATGTTGTACATAACGTTTCGTGAGAGTTCCATATTCTTACAATGTGATTTGGAATCCGCCACCCATCGATCTTTTATACCATTCATTGCTTTCCCGATGTATACTTGTGTTATGCCCAAGTTTTCCGCATGAGCGGCATGCCGGGACTGGTTTTCCTCGTAGTCGTCCTCCTCAAGTACTGCCCAGTAAAGATGGTTTCCTCTGTTGGGAAAAATTGCACGATGATCATTTTGCACTGAATATTTTGTTATGTAATTTCTCAGTGGAACGTTTGTTATCCAGTCTATATCTGTTTCCCCATCAGTTACTTCAAATACACTTCGATCACGGTGACAGATCCATTTCTTCCACGTCCAACGTTTGTCAACTGATGTACGGACATAAACAGGGGGGCAAAGTTGCCGATGCGTCAGATGACGGATTTTATGCAATTTTTCCTGTGCGAGGTATAGCCTTGAAATCACGTGCGCTTTTCTTGTGTCGTATGTCATAACGTCTTCGCCTCCAACATTTTTTAAGTCCTGACAAAATCCGTAGAAACTGAACTGATCAGGATGCCCAGTTTCTGTGCGCCATTTGAATTCGTACTGCGTTGCGAAAAGTATTTTCACATTTCACGATTCGCATCGCCATGGGCTGCAAGAATAATGCTGACGAAGTTTCGTGGAGATTTGTATTTTCCATTTCCTTGAAATCGAAAATTATTATGTTCTAACTGTACGTTTGTTTTTAATTTTCTTCTTAAGACGTTGTAGTCTTCTACAGTTAAATTCTCTGAAATGTCCAATAGGGATGGGGCGTCAATTTCTCTCACCGCATGCCGTTTTCTCGTATAGCGTTCTGAAACTGAGTTTTCGATGTTAGCCATTAAGGTTGTTATCTTCTTCGTTTTTTTTGTTTTGATCCAATTTGCAGGTTAGTTTCTGTGATTTCCATCTTAGCTTTCTTATAAATGCTCTGTCCTGGAACACCTTAATATCTGCAGATCGAAATCTGCAAAGAGATGTTCTTCTGGAAGAGATTAGTAGCATTAAATAATCGTGAACACATCAAGTTCTGAAAATGTATACATATAAGCATGTAAAGGCATTTGATAGTATTGATCATTTGTTTCTGCTTAAAAAACTTTCTCTTCTTAGGTGTTTCAAACGAAACAATAGTTTGGTTTAAGAGCTACTTGTCGGACAGAAAACAGTCAGTGAGAATTGGACACAAGTTATTAGACATTCGTCCGGTGGAACATGGTGTGCCCCATGGTTCTATACTTGGTCTTTTGTTATTCGACATTTATATAAACGACCTGTCAACCGTTCTTGACGAGTGCCCTTTAGAGTCCTATGTTGATGATTCAATGGTTTACCTGTGGTTTTCAATTAAAAATTACGAGAAATCGC